ACCCTAACAACCAACTGGTCGCAAACACACCACGCCACTCCCACTCACAAATGCAACTGCACAACAAGCAGCGCCTTACATGAGACTACGACTACGACTCCTCGATAGCAATCACGCCACCTCACACGCGGTTAGCACAGCACCCCACGCTCATAAACTACCAACGACCAGCCCGACGCGCACACGTTTTGTCCACTACCCCGCGCAATAAACACATTAGAAATCGTCGTCTCCGAGGCGCCCTGCCAACAATGCGAGACGGGAGGCGCCGTAGGTGCAATGCACACGGGTCATCCCACCTTCGCCCTAGGAACGAAAACCAAGGTTTCCACGAGGGCCACGTGCAGGTACGCGACGACACGACGAGCCATGGTCGACCACGCCTATAGTCGGGGGTACATCAGCTCAAAGGACCGCCACACACGGAGTCCGCGACCAGGGTCCGACACATTGGCATGAGCTTACGCCATGCAGCAGGATGAGTTCCCATATCGTGCCAGACAAGCATTACGGATGCGAGATAGCGAAAAACGGTGACACAACAAGCGTGGAAGACGTGCAAAAAGGGCGATGCAGGGTTGATCTCGGACATTAGTAGCCTCAAAACGGGAAGTGCTGCACGCATTTGACAACACGGCGCGCAAAACAGGCCAGCGCCGCGTAGGAAAAGCATAGCGACGCCCATATCTTGACAGCGCAAACAAAAATCCCACGTCGCCGCAGACAGGAGGGCAGCGCGGCGCATACGAGGGCAGCGCCGCGCATATGAGGGCAGGGCCGCGCATTAGAGGGCAGCGCCGCGCAAACCAGGGACGCCCCACGCATATGAGGGCAGCGCCGCGAACGGACAGGGCAGTGCGGGGAAGGGGAGGCCAGCGGAAATGCACACGAACAGGGACATCATGAGACCCATGCGCTGTGCAGGGATGGCCAGCATGCGCTGTGGCATGAAGTGGCCATCACACGTCTAAAGGGGAGTGGGAGCTGTAGCGTAGCGCGCCACAAATTCCCTTAGCCAGCCTGGCCACACATTCACCACATGGGCAATCTCACATACAGATAACACGCAAACGGGCACTCACAAAGCCAGCACACTCACACCGCCCCAACCCTATCTCATATTTGCCTCCTTCCCATGCTCAAATACCCACTACTCGCACTTGGCCGTTCCCCACCCTCCTCACTCGAACTCCATTACCCTACCCTCTCACATTTCCCTACCAAGCACTGTGACAATCCCCTAACCTGCCCTATCTCATTCCCCGTGCTTGCACTCTCACCTTCCCCTACCCTTCACACACACAACCCCCACCCTTGATTCCCACATTCCCCTACCCGTCACTACCACATTCCCCTACCATTCACACCCACATTCCCCTACCCTGCACGGTGACATCCCCTTACTCTTCAGTCCCACATCCCCTTTCCCATCACTCCCACATCCCCTTACCCATCACTCCCACATCCCCTATTCGTGACTCCCACAACCCCTTACCCTTTACTCCCACATCCCCTTACCCTTCACTCCCACAACCCCTTACCCTTCAATCCCACATCCCCTATTCGTGACTCCCACATCCCCTTACCCTGCACTCCCACATCCCTTTACCCTTTACTCCCACATCCCCTTACCCTTCACTCCCACAACCCCTTACCCTTCACTCCCACATCCCCTACCCCTCACTCCCACATCCCCTATTCGTCACTCCCACATCCCCTTACCCTGCACTCCCACATCCCATAGTCGTGCCTCCCACATCCCCTTACCCACCAATCCCACATCCCCTGACCCTTCACTCCCACATCCCCTTTCCCTTCACTCCCACATCCCCTACCCCTCACTCCCACATCCCCTAGTCGTGACTCCCACATCCCCTTACCCTGCACTCCCACATCCCCTTACCCTTTACTCCCACATCCCCTTACCCTTCAATCCCACATCCCCTTACCCTTCACTCCCACATCCCCTGACCCTCACTCCCACATCCCCTATTCGTGACTCCCACAACCCCTTACCCTTTACTCCCACATCCCCTTACCCTTTACTCCCACATCCCCTTACCCTTCAATCCCACATCCCCTTACCCTTCACTCCCACATCCCCTGACCCTCACTCCCACATCCCCTATTCGTGACTCCCACAACCCCTTACCCTTTACTCCCACATCCCCTTACCCTTCACTCCCACATCCCCTTACCCTTCAATCCCACATCCCCTCACCGTGACCCCCACATCCCCTTACCCTGCACTCCCACATCCCCTTACCCTTTACTCCCACATCCCCTTACCCTTCACTCCCACATCCCCTTACCCTTCAATCCCACATCCCCTATTCGTCACTCCCACATCCCCTTACCCACCAATCCCACATCCCCTTACCCTTCACTCCCACATCCCCTGACCCTCACTCCCACATCCCCTATTCGTGACTCCCACAACCCCTTACCCTTTACTCCCACATCCCCTTACTATTCACTCCCACATCCCTTTACCCTTCACTCCCACATCCCCTTACCCTTCAATCCCACATCCCCTATTCGTAACTCCCACATCCCCTTACCCTGCACTCCCACATCCCCTTACCCTTCACTCCCACATCCCCTTACCCTTCAAGCCCACATCCCCTATTCGTCACTCCCACATCCCCTTACCCACCAAACCCACATCCCCTTTCCCTTCAATCCCACATCCCCTTACCCTTCACTCCCACATCCCCTTACCCTTCACTCCCACATCCCCTAACCGTTCACTCCCACATCCCCTTACCCTTCACTGCCACATCCCCTTACCGTTCACGCCCACATTCCCCTATCGAGTACTCTCACATGAAGTACATTGCACTCTCACCCACCCTCCTGCCCCATAGTCTCAAGCTGTCATGCCCTGCTCCCGCACAATCCCCGACCCTGCAGTCCCACGATCCCTCATGCCATGCAGGGGAAGCATTCACATCTCTGGTGGCATCCCGTTCCCATGAGCTGGGGTCGTCTCACCAGCACACTCCCTGTCTTTCCAGCGTCCCCGTCCTCTCACATTCCCTCCTGTTTCGCACTCTCACACTCCATCCTGGGCCGCACCCTCGTATTCGCCCCTGTCTAGCACTCTCACATTCCCTTGTGTCCAGCACTCTCACATTCCCTTGTGTCCAGCACTCTCACATTCCCTTGTGTCCAGCACTCTCACATTCCCTTGTGTCCAGCACTCTCACATTCCCTTGTGTCCAGCACTCTCACATTCCCTTGTGTCCAGCACTCTCACATTCCCTTGTGTCCAGCACTCTCACATTCCCTTGTGTCCAGCACTCTCACATTCCCTTGTGTCCAGCACTATCACATTCCCTTGTCTCCAGCACTCTCACATTCCCTCGTGTCCAGCACTCTCACATTCCCTTGTGTCCAGCACTCTCACATTCGTTGGTTGTGGGGCACTCTCACATACCCATACGACCCCGCTCTCACCTTCCATCTGGTCTCGCAGTCACATATTTCCTCCTGCACACTCACTTTCCGTCCTACGCCGCACTCTCACCTTCCCTCCTGCTCGCACTCTAACATGCCCTCTTGGTCGCACTCTCACATTCCAGGACGTCCTGCACTCTCACATTCGTGAGACATTCCCCTACCCAACGCTCTAGCATTCCCCTTCGCCTTCAGTAAAACAATTCACATCCATGCACACACACCATTCCCTTCCCAGCAATTCTAACTTATCTTCCCATTCTACATCATGGAACCAACACCCCAACACCCATTCCGCCATCATGAGGGCCCCGACCAGGAGAACGGCATCGTACCCGATGAACATCCTTACAAACCAGCCATGGATGCACTCAAGCAACGCACCGTTACCATTGGGACCCACATGAAGATACCCATGGCCCTCATGCGATGCGGTCTGACAGCTCTCAGCGGTGGAAACCAGCTGGCAAGCACGAACGATGTGTTGCATGTGTTGGTATCGGAAGCCAGAGAGGCAGTTGCGAAGATGCTGGCAGCCGCTGCCACAGCAGGTAAACATGGGAGGATGGGGGCATGGTAATGTGTGAACATGCCAGTGCATTAGGGCCTCTAGGGAGGGATGAGTGCGGTGACACTATCATCCCTTCCCTCTTCACCGTAACTGCCTGTCATGCAATCTCCTAGGGGACCTCATTGTCGCATGCTGTCCACATCGTACATAATCACGACATCAAGCGGTGGATGATAGAATTGTTCGGGGAATACAAAAGGACACAGAAGGGGTGATAAGTGTGTATGTGTGGGCTATAGCGGGAGATCTACGGTTCAAAGACTTCGGGTATACCATCCCCCTCATTGCGATTCGTGACAATTGCAGGACCTGATGGGGAGGCATCTCTCGCAACAGCAAAAATGCACTTAGAGGCACAAGAACGGTCCATTCAAAAGAGGAGGAAGGGGGATGGGGCCACTGTAACCGACATACTGCAAAGGGTCCCAAGCCATTCTCAACCTTTCACATACAACCTGCCGACATACACTTGGAATGCGGCTGGACAGCTGGTCCCTGTCAAGGGTTTCAAGCACGGAGGACCGAGAAAGGGAACCAACTATGAGACATTAAAAGGGGCAGGTACGCATGCAGGGAATGTTTGCGGCCAGGACTGCTTGTGGGGTGTGGGGTTGCTAACATGGCCTCACTCACTGGTTGCGGGTGGAGGGGCCAGCATGGAATAATGGGCTTGCAAGGGGGTGCATGTGGGGGAAGCATGGCAGTTCATGTGCTGGTTGGGGGTGGTGGGGCAAGCATGGCAGCACCTGAGAGTAGTGGGGTGGTGGGGCAAGCATCAGCACTGCACCTGAGAGTAGAGGGGTGGTGGGGCAAGCATGGCAGCACCTGAGAGTAAATGGGTACAGGGGCGAGCATGGCAGCTCCTAAGAGTGCAGGGGTGGTGGGGCAAGCATTACAGCCCTTGCTGAGAGTAGAGGGGTGGTGGGGCTTGCATGGCAGCACCGGAGAGTAGAAGGGGTGGGGGGAAAGTATGCCAGCACCTGAAGATAGAGGGGTGGTGGGGCAAGCATGGCAGCACCTGAAGATAGAGGGTGGTGGGGCAAGCATGACCCAAGGATGGTTGGGGGTGGTGGGGCTTGCATGGCCTCAACTGGTGATGCGTGGGAGGCGTGGGGCTTGCATGGCAGTGCCTGCTGGTTTGTGGTCGTGGCCTTGGACTCACGACCTTGAACCTTATCTCCCCTATTCTGTGAGGGTGGCCCCACGTGCAGATCCTAGGGGCAGTCCGGAAGTCTTGGAGCGGGACATGGAAATCCAGTCCCCATGCATGGAGACTACTGTTGCATGCGGAGGTGACGTGGAGGGCGATGGGGAGGAGGCGGCTGGAGACGCCCCCGTTGACTCTCTTGGACAGGACCCCTCCCGGCTGTCAGCTGGAGGCCTGTGCGTGGACGATGCCCCTCCTGGCCAGGTGGCGGGGGGGCCCGTAGCCACGCCCGCAGTCACAAATGCGGTTGCTCAAACCCCAACAAATACAAGGTGAGCGCGTCGAGATTTATTACACACTAGCGTAGCACCCGTGATGCATTATCACGAATGCAACCCATACAAGTCTTTCATTGTGCGCCCGTGCTAAATGCATGACGTACCTGAGCAGGACGGCACCCGTCACGTCAGACGCTCCAAGGAGCAGGGGAGGACCTCAACCGGTGCCCGCAACGATTCCGATGCCGGCCAACGGCATGGTATGCCTACTCGACCCTCGAGAGATCATACGCTTCTTCACCCCCATGGGATTATGCTGCAACAAGAGTGGAGGTTGCAAAGGCGTGATGACCCTTACGTCTTGGAAACGCTCCTGGGCAACCCTCTGTCTAACTTGGACATGTGAGAGTTGTGGCCGAGTTCTACCATGGTGGTCCACGAAACGCGGCCACACCACTGGAAGTGGCAGCAACAGAGGGCCGCAATCCTCTCTTTCTTTGCCCAAGTATATAGCCTCTTTTGCCCTTGCGGGCATTGGTTTCCAACAGCTGTGGGAAGTGAGTAGATCGCTTGGCATCCCAACAATCAGGAAAGAGACCTTTTACAGGTACATGAGAGGTCCCAAGGGGTTATGGAAGGTCATAGAGGAGGAAGCTGTCCGGTCTATGGCCGAAGTTCGGGAAGAGATGGGCAAACGACTCGTGCCATGGGAATGGGTTTGTGTAGATGGGCGTTACTCACATCCACGCGAGGCCGAATGGGGAACTGTGACCTTCATGGACCCCATAACGCGCAAAATAATGCACCAAGTGACCAAGTCGAGGGTAAACGAGAAGTCTTGCTCGACTGAGCTAGAAGGGATCGCTTTCAAGGAGGGCCTGAAGGAGTTAGCTGCCATGGGGGTGCACTTAAAAGGGATTATTTCCGATGATGGCAGTTCTTTTAAGACAGCAGTTGCGGAGTTAGGGCTTGCACATCAAAAAGATGTGTGGCACAAGGCAAGAGCACTTTACAAGAAGTTTCTGAAACTATTGGTAGATGTGCTACGAGAACCGATGGAAGTTGAAGCCGCAACGTGCACTGGGGATTTGTGGCTGTGCACTGCTGCACAGTTATGGGGGTGGCTGAAACAGCACGGCGGTGCAACAGAAGGTCTAAGTGGCAAGTCATCAAAGACAGATCTCATCAAATCTGTATGCCCAACCCTCGGTAAGTTTGCATACGAACCAAACGCTGTGCCGACGTCGAAGTGGAAATTTCCTGATTTGCGGAAGGTACTACTGGTGAAGGAGCGTGGAGGGGGGGGGCTGGCCAGCGTGGCCAAGCGCCAAAAGACAGCGAGGGATGGGCTGGGACAAGGCGATGTGGGACATGAACAGGCTGTGACTGTGGAAAATTCCCCGCCTGTGCCGACATCAGGAGCGGATGGACCCCCTTACGGATGTCACACGACTGTCGGTGCAACCACGGCAGAACGCGCCTCGAGTGTGGATGCAGCCACGGTTGCGCAGCCGTCTGGTGCATCCATACCGGAGCAAGTCATCAACTTCCAATGGGCCGGTGTGCAACAACTCTGAGAGTTCGACCCACATCCAACGCATGGTGTTCCTGTGTCTGCGGAAGCCGAATACGTGTGGCTCACAACGGATACAATGATGGATGGAGAGCCAAAATGTGTGCCAGGGGGTGGAGGAGCGGATGAAAAAGGTGAGATGGGGTTTGGGCATGTTCCGGTCTCGTTTTGGGCAAGCATGCCATCATCGATCTTGGACATCCATTCTGTACATTCGAGTAATTTCCGCACTTTCTAGCCACCATCGTTCAATTCCTGTCCATCTCGTACCATCCGGTCATTTCCCACATTCCAGCCACCTTTGTTCCTTGCTGTCCATGTCGTTCCATCAAGTCATTTCCCCAGTTTCAAGCCACCATCGTTCAATGCTGCCTATCTCGTACAATTTGGACATTTTCCTCCATTTTGTTCCAACTTTGCGCCGCGCTCTCCATCTCTTATCATCCAGTCATTTCCCCACTTTCTCACCACCATCGTTCATTGCCATCTCGTACCATCCAGTCAATTTCCCACTTTCCAGCCACCGGGGGTTCCATGCCCTCGTTCATTGTACCATCCAGTCATTACCCACTTTCCAGCCACCAACATTCATTGCTGTCCATCTCGTACCAAGCAGACATTTCCCCACTTTCCTTCATCCTGTGCTCCTTGCACTCCATCTCGTACTATCCAGTCGTACCGGGCAGTCCATTTCGTGCCTTGCATCGCATTGCCCTTGGAGAACGCGGTTCACAAGCTCTCTTATGCATTTGCCATTCGTGTGTGCAGAGCAAGAGGAGTTGCATGCTTCTTCTATGGACACGATCGAACCAGCCAACGCGGATGACAATTTGCGTTGGACCGAGAGGGGTAGTGCTAAAAGGAAGCGTGGTGAGTCCGGCGCGGGCCTAGTTGACGAAGAACCGTACTATGAGGTGACGCTGGCACAACGGTGGAGTACGCACTTCAACCATGTGATGGTGAATTGCAATACGATGATGAAGAGTGGACAGACCCCATCAGCGGAACGTGTTGCACATCAACTTGCCGTGTCTGCAGACCATTGGGCAGGGATTCACAGCAGCTGCGGGCATGCGGGTGAGGTACCTCGATGCGTGTCAGAGAAATGGGGACCAGAGAGTGCAGTTTACAAGCCCAACTCTGAGGCCCATCTGGCACTCCGAGAATGGCTTGCTGACCATTGCAGTGCGAAAGAAATGGAACCCTACGTGCAGGGCGCGAGTAACTGGGTGAATGAATCATTTCATTCCCTAATAATCAAGTACGCACCGAAGCGGATCCATTTTCAGAAGAGTATGGTGGCTAGAATAGGTCTTTCGGTGTTGCACTGGAACCAAACGGTGTCACGTCTTGTTGTGGCAATCAGGACACGCGTGCGGAAGGCAACTAGGGTAAGGCGTGGTAGCAAGGAGCGGATCTTGTCGGACATGGACTGGAGCTGGTTGGACAAGCTCATGGCTGATTGGCGTGATATTGGGCTGGTACGGGATGATGCAGCGCCGTCGACTCAGCGGGATGAGGAGGCTGAGTTGACGGAGCCGCACTCTGTTGATGCAACCCCTGATACGCCAGTTTCTGCTCACGCTACCCCCCCTCGGCCGGTGGATGCAGAGGAAACACCTCTTGGTCTTTCCCAAACACCGCACCCTCCTACTCCCCTAGCTGGAATCACTCCCACCAATGCCGCAGTCACGCCAGCCACCCCCGTGCCCACCAGCTTCATTTTTACCACCCCTGGAGGCCCCGTGACGCCAACTTCTAGGGCGGCTCGAAGCAGGAGGACGCGACGCAATCTCAACCAAATAGCTGCATGCAGACCACTCTTCCGTATGTGCATTTCCACTGTCTTTGCTCTGGTTTGTGCAGATTGTATATGACGACTCTCGACGATTTAAATGGCAACTATGGTATTGCTCCTGTTTGTTTTTGTCTTGCCACATCTTCAGGGAATGTTACAAACCTCAGATGAGGTGGTCCAGGTCGTACCACGTGTGCGTCGCCCCTCCAAACGCGCTCGACAGATATCAATCCGGTATGCCAAGTGTCGTTTTTGGAGTTCTATGGCACCTTGCTTCTCGCAACACATGTCCTTTCCAATGTTTGGCTCTTCTACTAATCCACATGTACCCAAACCATGCCCCCAACCATTCACTTCATATCGTGGCCCTATGGAACCCATACCACCATGTGTTCTTTCTCGCACTAGACCATACATCACTGTCACCCTGTCTGGTTCATGCCGTCATATTGTCTTGCTGGTTGAGCAGCATGGGAGCCTGCAGATATTGCCCCCCATAACTTAGGCAACACATCCTTTCCCCACCCCCCAACCCTTCACCTCCTATATAAGCCCCTTTACTCCCACATCCCCTGCCGAAGCCCATGTTGTTCTCCTCTGTACAGCTGCGTGACCCGGTTTGTGTGTCATCCAGTGACTCTACGGTGGTAGCTGGATGGCTGGTATGGGCGGAAGCAGATATGGCAGCCCATGCCTCACGCCGTACACACCCTTTATTCCCACCCTCATTCTTCACCTCCTGTTTTGTCCCTTTGTGCTGCCATCCCCTCATGCCCCCCGCTGTTTTTTTCCTATCACCAGAGGCTAATGGGGTTTTCCCACGACCGAAGTGACTCTACGGTGGTTCATGGATGAGGAGCATGGGCGGATGCATATGTTGCAGCCCTTGCTTCACGCAAGAGACACCCTTCCACCACCCCCTCACTCTTCACCTCCTTTTTTGTCCCTTTGTGCTGCCATCCCCGCACGATGCCCGCAGTGTTTTCCTATCACCAGAGGCTAATGGGGTTTGTGCACGATCCAGTGACTCTACGGTGGTAGCTGGATGAGGAGCATGGGCGGATGCAGATATTGCACCTCCTGCCTCACGCAAATAACACCCTTTCCCCACCCCCAAACTCTTCACCTCCCTTTCTGCCTCCGTGTGCCGCCGTCCCCTCATGATGCCCGCATTGTTTTGAGTAACATGGGATACGGTTTGTGAGTGTTCAGGGACTCTCTAAGGGGGTTGATGGAGGAGCAACAGGGGTGGATGCACACATTGCTTTCCACTGCCTCACGCAACACACCATTCCCCTCCCCCCCCCCCCCCTTCCCCCCCTACCTCCTGCCCCATTTGTCATTGACAACCAACGCTTGACATAGCCTACATGATTACCATCTCGACACGGGTGCGATATCGCGCACCATTGATGGTCCTAAACGCTAATCTGTAAGGTACTCTCAGCTGCCCCAAGCGTCTCCTCGCCCCCCTATACCCGCCCCCCTATATCCAACCATGTCTTATTCCCATGTCGTCCCCTGTCCGTGTATGTGTTATTCTACAGAGCAAGCGTGCGGCGATGGGCATTGCAGATATGTGGAAGGCACCAAGTGCACACCTTGATTTTACACTAGTAATTAGTCATACGCCTTACATGGATCTTTACGGTATTTGTTCTGCACACAATCACTCGCGTGATACAAGATCAGACATGAGTGCATTAGCCACTCTACTTCTGTTGAGACCAAAACTGCAACAAATAATACAAAGTATAGAGTCCTAGGCACAACTATCACCGCCACAATCCGGTGCGACGGTTTAGCCATCCACCCTAGACGCTGTAACTCCTGACTCAAAACTACGCATTCCAAAGTCTATGTCTTCGGGTGGATCCCACTCACCCAAGAAGAAATCAACATCCGACTGCGTGCAATTCCGGTAGCCCTCGTTCATTTGGACGGTCTCGGGGTACAAAGATCCTATCACAACGTACACTAACCATGGCAGTTTTACGTGGGCCTCTTGATCGTCTCCAAGCAGGTCGGAAAAGCGTACGTAACACCTGAACCTGTGATTCTTGGGAAGCATGGGACGGCCGTTGTTGGATGTTTGCGTGTTCTTCCCACAACATATGCACACAACTGCTTCGACCGTTCGTATGTTGTCGGCCACATCGCCTTGGCTCTCTTGGGGCAGTTCTAACTCCTCTATAGCCCACTTCTCGAGAACACTGTTCTGTTTGGGGTAGACCCGGGCAAATTCTTCAAGGGACCACGACTCGCTGGCTTCCAGCAGTACAGTTGGTTTGCCAGATGGTGTGTGAGAGCGCCGCAGAAGAGGCTTGATATGGCCTAGCTGGCTGCTGGCTCGACTCCGCCCCCTCCTCATGCCACCACCCACTAATCTGCGGTTCTTCCATGGCTGTCCACGATCGTCGCTGTCCGAATCACTCTCCAATTCATCAGTTAGCCGTGTGCCCAGAGACAATCCCTTATGCCGAGTTCTCCGATCCATGTTCAAACTGTGGGGCACGGAATCTGTGGGAATGCAGATGGGGTGAGTTGGGGACACAATAAGGAGGGGTTGAGATTTGACATTACATGGTGGTCTGTGATGAAGAGGAGCATGGGACCATGGGTGCAGGGGAGCATGGGACCATGGGTGCAGGGGAGCATGGGACCATGGGTGCACGGGAGCATGGGACCATGGGTGCAGGTCTGCATGGGACCATGGGTGCAGGGGAGCATGGGAACATGGGTGCAGGGGAGCATGGGACCATGGGTACAGGGGAGCATGGGACCATGGGTGCAGGTCTGCATGGGACCATGGGTGCAGGGGAGCATGGGACCATGGGTGCAAGGGAGCATGGGACCATGGGTGCAGGTCTGCATGGGACCATGGGTGCAGGGGAGCATGGGACCATGGGTGCAGGGGAGCATGGGACCATGGGTGCAGGTCTGCATGGGACCATGGGTGCAGGGGAGCATGGGACCATGGGTGCAGGGGAGCATGGGACCATGGGTGTAGGGGAGCATGGGACCATGGGTGCAGGTCTGCATGGGACAGTCCTACCATGGGAGTGAAACAGTCCTACAATGGGAGTGAAACAGTAGGGGAAGGGTGGGTGAAACAGTGGGGGAAGGGTGAGTGAAACAGTGTGGGAAGGGGAGTGGGAGCATGGTGGAAACGGGAGTGAAACAGTGGGGGAGGGGGAGTGGGAGCGTGGGGGGAAGGCGGAGTGGAAGCATGGGAGAATGGGAGTGTAACCGTCCATGGAATGGGAGCTGACCCGTCGGGGATTCGGAGTGTAATAGCAATGCATGTTGCATTGGAGGCGTGGGGGAAGGGGAGTGGAAGAGTGTAGGAAGGGGGAGTGTCACAGTGGGGGAAGGGGAGTGAAACAGTGGGTGACGGAAAGTGAAGCGCGGGGGCGGGGAGTGGAAGCGGAGGGGAAGGCGGAGTGGAAGCGGGGGGGAAGGCGGAGTGGAAGCGTGGGGGAAGGCGGAGTGGAAGCGTGGGGGAAGGCGGAGTGGAAGCGTGGGGGAAGGCGGAGTGGAAGCGTGGGGGATGCTTTGGGGAGCATAAGAGTATCGGATCAGCGGGGCATCGGAGCAAGGGAGAAGCACAACGGGGGAGCAGCGAGGCGCGGGAGGGAAGAGGAGCATTTCGGGAGGGGTTGCCTCCCTTACCGTCTACCTAGGACCCGCTCCCTTGGCGTTCGCGCCATGCAGCCTCTTTTATAACTCCGCATTGTCACATTGTAGCAAATGCCCACGGGCATTTGGCTCACAGGCACCTCTTATCGTGTGCAAAGGGGATACTATATGTTTTCGTTGTTGCCTTCCGTCTTTCCGAAATTGACGCATACCCGTATGCGAGTACTGCGGTGAAGGGAAATGGGGGGGAGCGGGGTTGATCGAGGCCTGGATCAGACGTGGGAAGGATAGTTAGCATTCCGCGTAGATGCCTAGTGTTTGGCGTGTGCTCCTGTGGGAGCATTTTTGCCCTGTAACTTCCGTCGGAATGCGCTTTTTTGAGTTGCGCAGCCTGCCATGTCATTCCCCTGGTGCGGGCGAGTTTGCATTCTCGCAGTCGTCCGCTGATGTGTATTCGGATTGTGAGTCCTCACGCTTTGTTGGCCTGAAATTCGCATCTAATCCGCAACACCGGATTGCGCTCATACACTGCAGGGTGTGGCGCCTGTCAGTTGGACGTCGCCATGTGCGATGCACTCCATATCGTTTGCAGTCCCAGTACGCACGCTGATGTGAGGGGCGAGGGAGCGTGGGGCTCAATGCCATTGGTCGCTTTCGTGCAGGTCATTTCCTATTCGCGCTGAGCCTATGCGTGTCTCTACCATCACTCACGTACCTCGGTAATCACTGGTATCTGTTCGTCGTCGCCCTTGAACCAGCACCAGTCTCGACTACGTAAGGTCTGATTAGGTCTACGGCTGGTGAGTGTGTTTGTAAGGGGTGTCTCAGTTGTTGATTGCGCAAAACAGTTGACCGAGACCTGGGTTTGGCGTGCGACACCCACTCCGTCGTCTTTGGCTGTCTTGCACACCCCCTGCGATCGAGGGTAAGGGTTTCGCGAAAATGTGAGGGTTCGTGTTGCGAAGTGTTTGTTCTTTGGCGAGTTGAATTTTGGCAGGACGTTTGTTCGTGATTCGTAAGCCAATCAGCCCAACCCTTTTTCTCACAACTGCAAAGCACTTGCTCTACTTGAGACCCTGGCTTTAAATACCCACTGCAGACTAGACAATATGACATTCTGACATTGGGGGCATTTTAGGTTAGGCTCCGAACCAAGTTTCCCAGCCTAGAAGGTTCGGGTACCCCCAACGATTTGTGTTCGCTTCGCAACTCTCGCTTCACCCCACTTCAAACCTTACACCTCGCCAACCAATCACACCCAAACTTTCACCATCAACTTCAAAACACTTGTAGTACGTGAGACCCTGGCTGATCTTTTGGGGGTGCATTCCTGGCACACGCCACAAATCCTCGTGTTAAAAAGATGTGATACAAAGTGGTGCAAATAATCCGCTGGTTTCTATACAAGTTTCAATAGTTATATGCACATTCCTCCCTAGTGCGGTGCGCTCGTCGATTCTGAATGTTATACGGTGTCAATAGGATCGTCGTATATTGCGAGCGTTGCGGTGTCCACCGCTTCACATTCCCCCATGAGATAACCGCATCCGCATCGCATCACTCTGTAGCAGCAGTGATCCAGCCACCATTCATCAACAGCTTCGTGGATCTCCTGCTGCTAGGAATCTCGTCCTCGTCGCGCCGCATCGGCAATTGGCATCTCATCGCTTCGTTGTGGAGCCCTTCTCTCCCCCGTGTTTGGTAGATATAACCACCTCCTTTCTTAGCATCGCCATTCTCAGCATCAGTATCCGTGACTCGCGTGCGCCAGCAGCATGGATTCCAGACTCGCGCTCTTCGCGCTTCTCCTCGCCGCCGTCCTTGTCTCAGGTGACCTCTTACTACCTTCACCTACCCGCCGCGCCTTCTCAAGCTCACCTATCTGCGCGCCCATCCCTCTCGTTCTCTGCGCGCCCATCCCTCTCGTTCTCTGCGCGCCCATCCCTCTCGTTCTCTGCGCGCACCCGCCTTCCGTTCTCTGCGCGCACCCGCCTTCTGTTCTCTGCGCGAGCATCCTTCTCCGCGTCTGAGTGCGCCTCGCTCATTGTGTGTGTGTGAGCGTGCGTGGCAGCGAGCGGCAAGGTGGAGAAGGACGTCAAGCAGCTGCAGATCGGCGTCAAGGTGAGCGCCCCGCCCTCTTGCCCTTACCTTCACGGTCTCCCGTTCTGCGTTGCAACCATCCATCTGCATGCGCTTTCTCCAGTCTTCTCCTTCTCCTTCTCTTTCACTACGCTCCACTCACTCTCCTCCCCTTCCCGTCTTTCCCCCTAACCCCTATGCGCCCATCGCATGCTGCGCTCCCTCGTGTGCTGTGCGCGCCTTGCCCTTTGCGCGCCTTGCCCCATGTCCCCCTCGCGCAGTTCAAGCCGGAGACCTGCAGCACCAAGGCGCGCAACCTCGACACTGTCAGGGTTCACTACAAGGTATCCTCCATACAGTCACGCTTCACTACAAGGTATCCTCGATGCACTCACGATTTACTACAAGGGATCCTCGATACAGTCACGATTCACTACAAGGTATCCTTGATACAGTCACGATTCACTACAAGGTATTATCGATGTAAGGGGTTGGGAACTGCAAGGCACCCCATGGATGGATCCTAGTACTCTGCACGTCCTGCCACCTCGCTTCCCTGCTTCCCTCCTCTTCCCACATCCCCTCTCCACCTCTCTCAGCACCCCCGCCACTGCCTCACCATGCTTCCCACTCGGATCCCACTCATCCCGCCCCCCCTGCCTGCGCCCCCTCCCCCCCACCCCCCAGGGCATGCTGGTGGACGGCAGCGTGTTTGACTCGAGCTACGAGCGCGGCGACCCGCTGCAGTTCCGCTTGGGGCAGGGCAACGTGATCAAGGGTGGGTGGGGGGGGCAGGGCAACGTGATCAAGGGTGGGTGGGGGGGGCAGGGCAACGTGATCAAGGGTGGGTGGGGGGGGCAGGGCAACGTGATCAAGGGTGGGTGGGGGGGGCAGGGCAACGTGATCAAGGGTGGGTGGGGGGGGCAGGGCAACGTGATCAAGGGTGGGTGGGGGGGGCAGGGCAACGTGATCAAGGGTGGGTGGGGGGGGCAGGGCAACGTGATCAAGGGTGGGTGGGGGGGGCAGGGCAACGTGATCAAGGGTGGGTGGGGGGGGCAGGGCAACGTGATCAAGGGTGGGTGAAAGCCCTCCTTGGCACGAGATGAAGGAAACTTCCAAGTGCTGTTGAGCGTGCTTCTCTGTGCACTGCTACCCCTCGTGCGCCCCACCTTGCCTACGTGCGTGTCCCTATCCGCCCCTTAGCTCAACGCCACCATGCCCACACGCTAGGATGATCCCACCACAGCGTGGAAGGGGAGCTTGTGCACGCCCAAGCCCAACATCCCTCCCTCCACTCTGCATGTACCCCTGCCCTGCTATGTTTTCCTCCCCCTCCTTCCCCCCCACTTCCCATGGACCCGTGGAGCAGGGTGGGACATGGGCATTCTGGGCATGTGTGTGGGCGAGAAGCGCAAGCTCAAGATCCCGCCACACATGGGGTACGGCGAGTCGGGCTCGCCACCCAAGATTCCCGGTATGCTCATGGTTTAGTTACTCCCCCCCCTGGCCACTCCCCACTCCCCCTCTGGCCACTCCCCGTCCCGCCACTTCCCCTCATGGCATGCCACTCCCCCTCTTCCCACTGCCCCTCTTCCCACTGCCCCTCTTCCCACTGCCCCTCTTCCCACTCCCCCTCTTCCCACTGCCCCTCTTCCCACTCCCCCTCTTCCCACTGCCCCTGTCTGCATGCGCTGCTTACCATGCCGCTCCTCCTCCATAGCTCCCATCACGTCCCCCACACTCCACACTGCCCGTGTGCCCTCTCCCTCCTCGCGTCTGTGCTCCTCCGCATGGCCACGCCTCACTGCCTCACAGCGTCGCCAATGCACCTGCTGCACCACTTGCTTTTTCTCGTTGCACGCTCGCCTGTTCCTGCTTGGATTGGCTGATGCTTGCATTGCACGAAAAGCGCCATTGCAAGCACACCTAAAACACATGCTGCACACTTAAAAACACATGCTGCACACTTAAAACACATACTGCACACTTAAAACACATGCTGCGCACTTAAAAACACATGCTGCACACTTAAAACACATACTGCACACTTAAAACACATGCTGCACACCTAAAACACATGCTGCACACTTAAAAACACATGCTGCACACTTAAAACACATACTGCACACTTAAAACACATGCTGCACACGTAAAACACATGCTCCACACTTAAAACACATACTGCACTCCTCTTCCCTCCCTCCCTCCGCCGTGCCCTGCTTGCCGCCCCCCTCCCCTCTCTCCTCCCTGCCCGCCATGCCCCATGGCACGCCACACAGGCGGGGCGACGCTCATCTTTGAGACGGAGCTGGTGGAGATCGTGGGGGCCAAGCCCGACGACGAGCTCTGAGCACCTCACCACCTTTCACCTCGCACACGCTATCATGCACACAGCGAGAGCGCTGCTGCTGCATCAGCTGCGCATATTGCAACTCTTTTACATGGAATGTAACTCCGTTGATTTTGGGAGTTGTAACTCAGATCACCGCTTAGCACTGGAATGTTGTTTACCTTGTGTGCAATGATATTTTTCTTGATAGTAGCTACAAGCTGCAAGAACCACATATAGCGAATGTAAAGTTGGCTCCCTTTGACCCAAAACATATTACTGGCCACCAACGCATTCTGCTGTATTACCAAGTCAGCACCGGTCATATGAAAAGCATGCTCCCTGTACATTGCTGCTCCCTGCATATAGCACAGCGACATCATGCCAAGCCAACTGGCCTACTGAGATTTCTTGATCTTGTGCGAGCGAGGCGAAGGAGCAACGCGAGAGAGTGTGTTGAGGAAGGTGTAGACGGAGAAGAGCACAAAGAGCCAGCGGAACCTGCCAGCACGGCCATGGGACAGTGAAGGGGGGATGCGTGCGGGTGATGAGGACGGGAGGGGGCTGTGCCATGCATGGGCGATAAAGGTGGCAGGGAGGAAGATAGAGGAGGTCTCTCGGAGATAGTTTTACGCACCAAACAAATTGGGAGCGATGGGCCCGCATCGCTCGCACGCTGGGCAGCATGTTCGGGCAGATGAAATATATCCTGCTGCCTGCCGTGCTTAGGTATTTTGTGATGAGGAAATGCATCCACATGGCAAGCACCCCCAGGAGCCCAAGAAACTTGACATGCAGCCATGCACTGTTCTGCAGGAGGCATGGAGGGTGGGATGGATTGGAGATGAATGACGGTAAAATGGGGATGGATGGAGGGGATAAAGGAAGGTAAGTGGATGAAAGGGAAGGAAAGACATGGGATTGGAAGACATGGGATTGGAAGGATGTAGCAGGAAATGGAAAGTGCAATGGAGGGGAGTGAAAGCGAGTGAGAGGAACGAGAGTGAAAGGAGGGATGCATGAAAGGAAGGGATGCATGAAAGGAAGGGATGCATGAAAGGAAGGGATGCATGAAAGGAAGGATGCATGGAGGCCATTCGAAATGGAGGGAGCATGAGGGCAGTGGGGAGAGGAGAGTGGTGGCATGGCAGAGAAACTACCCTGACTGCCTGCCACACTCACCAGCTGCCACACTCACCAGCTGCCCCACTCACCAGCTGCCACACTCACCAGCTGCCACACTCACCAGCTGCCACACTCACCAGCTGCCACACTCACCAGCTGCCACACTCACCAGCTGCCCCACTCACCAGCTGCCACACTCACCAGCTGCCACACTCACCAGCTGCCCCACTCACCAGCTGCCACACTCACCAGCTGCCACACTCACCAGCTGCCCCACTCACCAGCTGCCACACTCACCAGCTGCCACACTCACCAGCTGCCCCACTCACCAGCTGCCACACTCACCAGCTGCCCCACTCACCAGCTGCCACACTCACCAGCTGCCACACTCACTAGCTGCCACACTCACCAGCTGCCACACTCACCAGCTGCCACACTCACCAGCTGCCACACTCACCAGCTGCCACACTCACCAGCTGCCACACTCACCAGCTGCCACACTCACCAGCTGCCACACTCACCAGCTGCCCCACTCACCAGCTGCCACACTCACCAGCTGCCACACTCACCAGCTGCCACACTCACTAGCTGCCCCACTCACCAGCTGCCACACTCACCAGCTGCCACACTCACCAGCTGCCACACTCACCAGCTGCCACACTCACCAGCTGCCACACTCACCAGCTGCCCCACTCACCAGCTGCCACACTCACCAGCTGCCACACTCACCAGCTGCCCCACTCACCAGCTGCCACACTCACCAGCTGCCACACTCACCAGCTGCCACACTCACCAGCTGCCACACTCACCAGCTGCCACACTCACCAGCTGCCACACTCACCAGCTGCCACACTCACCAGCTGCCACACTCACCAGCTGCCACACTCACCAGCTGCCACACTCACCAGCTGCCACACTCACCAGCTGCCACACTCACCAGCTGCCACACTCACCAGCTGCCACACTCACCAGCTGCCACACTCACCAGCTGCCACACTCACCAGCTGCCACACTCACCAGCTGCCACACTCACCAGCTGCCCCACTCACCAGCTGCCACACTCACCAGCTGCCACACTCACCAGCTGCCACACTCACCAGCTGCCACACTCACCAGCTGCCACACTCACCAGCTGCCCACTCACCAGCTGCCACACTCACCAGCTGCCACACTCACCAGCTGCCCCCACTCACCAGCTGCCACACTCACCAGCTGCCACACTCACCAGCTGCCCCACTCACCAGCTGCCACACTCACCAGCTGCCACACTCACCAGCTGCCCCACTCACCAGCTGCCACACTCACCAGCTGCCCCACTCACCAGCTGCCACACTCACCAGCTGCCACACTCACTAGCTGCCACACTCACCAGCTGCCACACTCACCAGCTGCCACACTCACCAGCTGCCACACTCACCAGCTGCCACACTCACCAGCTGCCACACTCACCAGCTGCCACACTCACCAGCTGCCCACACTCACCAGCTGCCCCACTCACCAGCTGCCACACTCACCAGCTGCCACACTCACCAGCTGCCACACTCACTAGCTGCCCCACTCACCAGCTGCCACACTCACCAGCTGCCACACTCACCAGCTGCCACACTCACCAGCTGCCACACTCACCAGCTGCCACACTCACCAGCTGCCCCACTCACCAGCTGCCACCACTCACCAGCTGCCACACTCACCAAGCTGCCCCACTCACCAGCTGCCACACTCACCAGCTGCCACACTCACCCAGCTGCCACACTCACCAGCTGCCACACTCACCAGCTGCCACACTCCACCAGCTGCCACACTCACAGCTGCCACACTCACCAGCTGCCACACTCACGAGCTGCCACACTCACCAGCTGCCACACTCACCAGCTGCCACACTCACAGCGCCACACTCACCAGCTGCCACACTCACCAGCTGCCACACTCACCAGCTGCCACACATCACCAGCTGCCACACTCACCAGCTGCCACACTCACCAGCTGCCACACCACCAGCTGCCACACTCACCAGCTGCCACACTCACCAGCTGCCACACTCACCAGCTGCCACACTCACCAGCTGCCACATCACAGCTGCCACACTCACAGCTGCCACACTCACCAGCTGCCACACTCACCAGCTGCCACACTCACCAGCTGCCACACTCACCAGCTGCCACCCACTCACCAGCTGCCACACTCACCAGCTGCCACACTCACCAGCTGCCACACTCACCAGCTGCCACACTCACCAGCTGCCACACTCACCAGCTGCCACACTCACCAGCTGCCACACTCACCAGCTGCCACACTCACCAGCTGCCACACTCACCAGCTGCCACCACTCACCAGCTGCCACACTCACCAGCTGCCACACTCACCAGCTGCCACACTCACCAGCTGCCACACTCACCAGCTGCCACACTCACCAGCTGCCACACTCACCAGCTGCCACACTCACCAGCTGCCACACTCACCAGCTGCCACACTCACCAGCTGCCACACTCACCAGCTGCCACACTCACCAGCTGCCACACTCACCAGCTGCCACACTCACCAGCTGCCACACTCACCAGCTGCCACACTCACCAGCTGCCACACTCACCAGCTGCCACACTCACCAGCTGCCACACTCACCAGCTGCCACACTCACCAGCTGCCACACTCACCAGCTGCCACACTCACCAGCTGCCACACTCACCAGCTGCCACACTCACCAGCTGCCACACTCACCAGCTGCCACACTCACCAGCTGCCACACTCACCAGCTGCCACACTCACCAGCTGCCACACTCACCAGCTGCCACACTCACCAGCTGCCACACTCACCAGCTGCCACACTCACCAGCTGCCACACTCACCAGCTGCCACACTCACCAGCTGCCACACTCACCAGCTGCCACACTCACCAGCTGCCACACTCACCAGCTGCCACACTCACCAGCTGCCACACTCACCAGCTGCCCCACTCACCAGCTGCCACACTCACCAGCTGCCACACTCACCAGCTGCCACACTCACCAGCTGCCCCACTCACCAGCTGCCACACTCACCAGCTGCCACACTCACTAGCTGCCCCACTCACCAGCTGCCACACTCACCAGTTGCCACACTCACCAGCTGCCACACTCACCAGCTGCCACACTCACCAGCTGCCACACTCACCAGCTGCCACACTCACCAGCTGCCACACTCACCAGCTGCCACACTCACCAGCTGCCACACTCACCAGCTGCCACACTCACCAGCTGCCACACTCACCAGCTGCCCCACTCACCAGCTGCCACACTCACCAGCTGCCACACTCACCAGCTGCCCCACTCACCAGCTGCCCACTCACCAGCTGCCACACTCACCAGCTGCCACACTCACCAGCTGCCACACTCACCAGCTGCCACACTCACCAGCTGCCACACTCACCAGCTGCCCCACTCACCAGCTGCCACACTCACCAGCTGCCACACTCACCAGCTGCCACACTCACCAGCTGCCCCACTCACCAGCTGCCACACTCACCAGCTGCCACACTCACCAGCTGCCACACTCACCAGCTGCCACACTCACCAGCTGCCACACTCACCAGCTGCCACACTCACCAGCTGCCACACTCACCAGCTGCCACACTCACCAGCTGCCACACTCACCAGCTGCCACACTCACCAGCTGCCACACTCACCAGCTGCCACACTCACCAGCTGCCCACTCACCAGCTGCCACACTCACCAGCTGCCACACTCACCAGCTGCCACACTCACCAGCTGCCACACTCACCAGCTGCCACACTCACCAGCTGCCACACTCACCAGCTGCCACACTCACCAGCTGCCACACTCACCAGCTGCCACACTCACCAGCTGCCACACTCACCAGCTGCCACACTCACCAGCTGCCACACTCACAGCTGCCACACTCAC